CGGGGCGGGGCGGGGCGGGGCGGGGGCCGAGAGAAGGGCCTGCCGCGCATCTCTGACTGGGAAGATCCAGGGCGAGCCCCGGCGGCGGCTCCCCTGCCTTCGCACTGAAACGCTGGATTTCTTCCTGTCGTTGCCGTGCTTCATCCTCGGGGGAGAACGTAGTGAAAGAGAGGAAGGCCTTTTTTCTTTCCTGATGTCTAATAAGGCTTTCATGAGGCTAGTCAGCTATTAGCTGTGTGTACTGGTGACTCTTTCCCCCTCGCTTGAATATTGAAAAAACCCCGGTGCCCAAGTGAGAGCCTATCAATATAAAGACCACTTAAAATTTGACTTTTATGAATCTGCTTTCCTGCTTTTCGAGTTTAGAATAGAGATCCTGTTGTTGTTGTTGTTATCTCTGCTTCTGAGCTTTTAAAATAGCTAGCTGAGGCATGTAAGCTTTTTTGGCATGGAAATAGAATGATTAGAAAATTGCTGCCTTTCAGATTAGCTGTCATTAAACGCATAGTAGCCAATTCAGGGTCATGTAATGGGAGATTTATAATAATTGGGAAATAATGGGGGGGGGGAGGAGGTGAAGAACACTTTTGAATTAAAAAAAAAGAAACCCTATTATACTTACTTTCTTTTTCTCCAGCTGAATGAGCTAGTGGTAGGAGATACCAATGGAAAGCTGTTTGTATACAAGAACGATGAAAGCCAGCCTTGGACTATGCGTTCCTGTCAGGGAATGGTGAGTAGAAGTGAAATCTACCCTTCTCTTAATTCTGTTAACAATCCAGTACTTCCACTGCATATTATTCCAAGTAGAGGCCCTTCTGGGTCAGATCATCAAAGGAGCCTGTACAGCCACATTCCATTTCAAAAACTGCTAGTCATGTACCTCTGGGAAGCTTATGGGCCAGGCTAGAAGAACAGCTTCCCACTGAGTTCCTGAATTCCCACTAGGTGGTATGTGAAGATACACCAGTCTCTACACATAGAGGTTCCATTGACATACAGGTAGTTCTTGCTTAGCGACTGCCTCATACAGCAACCATTTACTGTTATGATAGTGATGAAAAAGTAACTTTGTGACCAGTCCTCACATCTATGACCTTCACAGGTCTGTAAAGCAAAGGAAAGCTGAAGTAAAATCATAAGCACAGCTGTGGTTTCATTTAGAAACCACTCCACTTAACCACCAGGTTGCTGGTCCCAATTGTGATGGCTAAACAAGGACTATCTGTATTATGATAAATAGCTGTTAGTACACTTATTAACTAATAATGAAATTGTATACTTGTCTTCTAAAACTAGGCACTGTCATATCTTATGGCAGCAGATTCCATAAATTTTGTGATGTGAAGAATTGTTTTCTTTTTTCTGTCATATGTCGGCAATCATTGAGCAACCTCCAGCAAGAAGAGAAGAAAAGTCTCTCTGCTTTCTGTAAACCATGTCTGCTTTCATGAATCTCTATTATGACTGCCCCAATACTGGGGTTTTTTTTCTTTTTTTTAAAAAATGAAATTCCCATGGTCCACCAACTCTTAATATTTCAGCCACTTATTTCTGTACCTTTTAAAGGCTTGCAATATAAAAATATTATAGTATTAGCTATTGCTATAGAAAACAAGAAAAATTTGAATAAATTCTTCATGGTGGCCATATGCCACTCTGCCCCACCACCTCTATGGTGTGCCCAGTACAGGCTGGGCCCAGCCTTGCCAGCATCATGAAGAGCCCTTTTGAGGATGCCACCACCCACAGATGCAGCTCCAGAGAGCAGCAGGGACATGGTGCAGCTGAGGTGCCACTGCTGCAGCAGCTCTACCACTGGGACTGCAGGCTGGCCTGCTCCAGGATGGGGCTGCAGTACCTGAACCTGCTGAATGATGATGACTTCCAGAAAGCCATCCGGGACCTCCAGTTGACCAAAAATATGTGGACGATTGACTTGGCGTACCTGAGGCATCACTTTGGGGTGAAGCATTGGTTCTGTACCCAAATGCTGGGCATGGACAAGGGCTACAAAAACCAGTCTTTAGAAAACACTTTGTGTAGAAAACACTTTGTAGAAAACACTTTGACACAGAGGAGAACCAAATGTACCAGCTATTTGCCCAAGCAAAAGCCTGCAAGGTGCTGGTGAAAAAAGGAAACATTCTTAGCAAGGGGATGGCAGATCCACAGTTTATAGCACAGGGACCATCCAAGAGCACCTGTCCCAAGGTCATACTGCCATTGTGCTGGTGAGTGCAGTCTTGCTGCTGTGTGACTTTTGCTGCACTCCTGTGAAATGCTGCTGCTTTCTCCCAAATGGTCAGAAGTGTTTCTGCAGGAGTCCTGACTACCAGGGCCATTTCATCATCTTGCGTGGCTACAACAAAGCTTTGGAGTGTATTTATTACAACAATCCTGTCTATGCAGATCAAACATGTAGCACCAACATCCATAACTTTGAGGAAGCCAGGACAAATTATGGCATATCCTGTTTGTTACCAAAATAGCTGACCTTCTGGATTGGTGCTTTCAGTTCATTGCTGGCATCCAGTGCACTGCCACCATGTTGGCATCTCAGGATTCTCACTACAAAGACATTCGCTCCCAGACTGCAACAGGTTGCAAGCAAAGGATGCGTTAGACTAGAAGGCACTGAAGGGAGAACATATTTTATGCTTTGCTGTGAGCCACCTTCAAGAATTTGTTCCTGAAACAGGATATCCATTACTGTACTAGATAATTAAATACATTTTTCAATTGGGGTCTGTCCATGGACCCCAGGTGATTTTAGATGACTGCCTGGGGGTTTTGACTCTAGCTCCAAATAAAAATCTTGCCGGTCCTTCCTCCCTAGATAAGAATAGACTGCTGAAACAAAATTAAAAGGACTGAACTCTGTTCTGATACTACACCCAAATCCAGTTTGGTTGCCCAATTCTAAATATACATTCATCCTCCTCCCTGAGCCATTGTTTGGGATTCCCTCCTGTTGGTCACCCTTCTGACTCGACTTGGTTCTTTTTATCTGCTCCAGCAAGCTCTTTGACTGCTTTAGGGCCAGGCTGAAAAAGCTAATATGTACATTTTCTACATTTTACATATTTGAAAAGTGTTGAGATGCAGAATGTGCTTTTACAAGAATAAACTCTTCATGGTGATGAGAATTAAAGGAAGGAAGGTTTAATTTGGAGAGAGAATTCCTCCTGAAATACAGGGAAGATCAAGTTGTTTGTAATAAATCCTGTTGGACTGGATGAGAAGCTGGTAGACGGTGGGACTCTGTGTTTGAGCTACAAATAAAATGGAGTGAGGATGCCACTGCAAATTAATGTGGCCGTATTTTCTGCCCTCCTTGGCTGGTTATATAGAAATACTGCCATGGGTTGTACTGTGGTCCTTGAATAATTCCCCCTAATTATCTGAGCAGCTGAGTGGGGCAAAGGCTGCTGTGACCTATCTTGGAAAAAGTCCTATCTCGGGAAAGAGCGGAAAAATTCTCCTTCCAGGAGATGGTGTTCCTCCTTCTTTCTAGGTGGTTTCTAGTCTCCTTCATCCCTTCAAAGAAGTCAAAGCTTTTGACATTTATGACACTCACTTCTGGTTGAGATGTTGAGTAGGTAGGAGAATGAGGAAAGTCTGGTCTCTGGTGAAGACTTCTGATTGGCTTTGGTCCAAGAAAACAAAGAAACACCCTGCTCCTGCAGTGAGGGAATGATGTGACTTCTCATGATTGACCTGAAAAATCTACGGTTAACTTGATCATCATGTCTGGGAGATAATGATAAACTGAATCAGTTAGTATCTGCCTTTGGCATATGGTTGCCTGCACCCAAAGTCTTAGCTCAATGTACAGACTTAATTAAAATCCAGCCTCCCTCACATTTATTTAAACCCTTATTTAGGAATCAGATTGTCCACGTGAACCTCTCTAAACAGTGCAGTGGAGCATCTTCTATCTCTAGAAATGTCCTGTCTTTCCAAGTGCCTGTAAAGTGCCTTGTCTGCCTCTGCCACATGGCTGCCTCCTTGCCAGAACTGTGGCTCCTGTCCCTGCCATCATGAACAGACTCTCTTCTTCTGCCTTCCTGACTCCTGAGTAGAGGAAGAGCAGTGTTCTAAGAGAGCTGTTCTTGACACATCATTTCTTGTATGTAGAGAGATTTGCCCTCATTTCTGCTGCTATAACTTTCCTTTTTTATGTTGACCTGCACCAGGCAACAAGGGTGTGTCATTTGTATATATCTGTTCTTAGTCTTTTTATCCTTTTCTTGAGCCCAAACGATTTTCAGAGCAGTTTGCATGAAATTAATGAATAAAGTCAGTCTCTGCCCCTAGACTTACAGTTTAAAAGAAGAACGAAAACCACTTCCAGGCACCAGCTCTCAACGTGTAGTACTACTTCCTGAATATCAAGGAAAAAGATTCAGTTCAGGAAGAAAAGACACCAGCGGGAGCTAATCCTGCAGCAGGGCTGGTGGAATGCCCCAGCTTTCCTCCTTCCCTCTGCCCACTTTTGCTGCCTCCCGATGAAAAAGATGTTGGCTACAAGCATTGGGAGTTGAAGATGCAAGTTGAAGAAGAGCATTTTTTAAAAGCTGGAGAGCTAGAGCAATCCTAGTTACAAAAACATTGGACTTATTTTGAGGCTTATCCTTCAAGGTTCATCTTTATGGCATTTACTGGCAATAGTCTTCTGTACTACTTTGGTTTTATATACTGTATTGATTTGCATAACCGTTTCTTTATCCTTGCTTTCTTATTGCTCTTTATTTTTTGGAATGGAGACCATTACAGCAAATCAGATAAATACTTTCCTTTTTCAGCTCACCTGCGTTGGTGTTGGAGATGTATGCAATAAGAAGAAGGTAACTGCTTTAAAAACATTCTCCCAATGTTGTGTGTGTGCATGTGTCTTTATGCTATGTCATTGCAGCAGAGTACCAAACCATATCAAACTCTTTCCAGTTGTGGGGGAGAACAAGGTAACGGTACGCTAATGTACTTTTTTATTCCATTGTTAAAAGTCCTTCTGTCAACAGTCTAATAGCAACTGAAGAGACGTCTTCCATTAACACATAGAAATGGAGGCCAGAGGAGACAGGAAGAATAGGTGATAGTTATATGTAGTAAGGATGTAAGAAAAGAATGATGCCAGTGGTTCTAAAAATATTTGAGGCCGAGACAGTTTTTCTATGGGGTCTGGCTACACCCATTCATCAATCTGATAAAATTTGAGGTGGTTCAAGGTAAGTTTCTAAGGTTATTTGGTGCATTCCTGGTATGGAATTCCCTATCATAGGGTGGCTGAATAGGGTAGAGGCCAGAGTATGGACAAGCTCCTGCAATTACTTTCTGCTACAAGACTTGCCTTTCTTGTTTTGAATGATAGATAAATCTGTATTATGGGCTTAGACCAGTACAAATAAGACATTAAAAGCAATAAGGGCAGTAAAAACAATAAAACAGTGGAGCCTATTTGCCCATCAGGTCAGAGTTAAAATGCACTAAAATTGCCAAGCCACTACTATGTCCAACCATGGGCTAAAATACAAGAAGCAATAGAAAATACCCAGAACTGGGTGGGCTCTGTCAAAATTAATAGGGAATGAGGGCAAAATCGATGCAGTAATATAAGAAGCAAGCATAAAATCAATCTATTTAACTAGTGCTGTGTTCAGTTTATGCCTGCCAAATTTTGCAAACATCTCTGCAGAATCTTGCAACTTTAGCTGTGATGTAGGAACTATCACCCTCATAGAAATTAAGCATAGGCCAAGTCTGGTCTATCAGGTCACCCACCAATTGGGAAGAATAAGCCTAGCCCTTATATCTCTACGGAATGGGCAGCGGAAGATGACATGTTCCCAAGTTTATACCTCTCCTGTGTCACAGGGACAAAGCCTTTCAACCATTGGGGGCTTTTTATCCTTGCCCTCCAGTACAGCGGAGTGTTTCTAATTGCAAGAGGTACCCTGCAGGAGACACTAAATATTTAAGCCACTTTGAAGCTAAAGAAACTGGTACCTTCCTAATATCTTCCTGATGTTCTACATCAAGGAATCTTTGTTTAATGGCTAAGCTTAGCCTTGTCATGGCCCAGTCCTAGGACTTTCAGAGGGGAGATGCCCAGGAGGCGTAGTTTCAGTATGATTACCTTGATCCAGGAAGATTGGTAGGTGTCCTGGAGGACCAGGGGGGCCAATCTTCTAGGGTTTTATTACTAATTTCAGCCACGGATTTAGGGAGGCAAGATACACCCTGGCCTCCACTTTAATCATGCCTGCATCTAGCCAAAGGATGGCATTTGGGGCACATCAAGGGAGTTGGAAAGCTGCTCTAGGAAATTTAGACTGCACTTGTTCTAGAGGAGGAAAACAAAGGAAGCTAATTTTGACTGATGGCTTCTTTGAAAGCAGGGCATTTGCAACACTATGGAAAATCTCCAGAGGTGTTTCTGGTCTTAGATTAGGAGTAAGCCATGCTGAAGCCTAAGCAATAAATTCTAAGCATGGTATCTTAGAATGAACTTGGCAGAATTTCCATAAGGTTGATTGTAGAAATCATAAGTGTTTTAAACTGGTTGAGGAGCCCAGGCAAGTTATATATGCCACAGGGCTTTATTTGTTCCATGCCAGAGCCTTGCCCAGACTCTTTGATGGGATGGTTCCTATATTTTGCATGAGGTTACAGAACCCCCTTTACGATAAACATTCTCCTTCATAACCTGGGGCCTGGCCACCTAAGCCAATTAGGTCACAAGTGGTCATCAAGAGGGCCTTTATGACAGCACCAATACCACTACTTGGTCTTTTTTTAACTACAGACTCAGGATATGAGAAGCAAATGGAGATACAGATTTTTTATTGTTTGCTTTCTGAACTAAAAGCACCACTTATTCACCCAACACTGAATCTAGCTGGCTAGGCTAGGTTTGGATTCTGAAAGAATCAAGGTGGGATTCCTGCCTCATTCTGTGAGGTGGTTCCAAAGGATTACAGTTGGCATCCACTTTTGTAACTTCTGTCAAAGTCCAGTCTCTCCTTGCAGTTTTCTACTTGAGTGCTGTCTTCATCCAATTCACACAGGAAGTCTTTGTTCTTTTGGGAACCCTGTCTTGAGGTATCTTCTTTGAAGGTGACTTTTTCTACCTGCTGCATAGCCTGAAATCTTCCAGAAAAGACTTTTGCCTCCATGGCCCTTCACTGAATGATTCAAGCATTCCATTTTTTATACATGTCCATTTTCACAAATACACATGTCATAAAGGTACACTTTGCTGCTATGCCATGGTATTACATATTAATCAGCATTACAGGCTGATCTTCTCCATGACAATCTATCCCTAACCTAGTCGTTCAGGTATTCTCAGGATTCTTCTCCAATACCAGAGTTCAAAGGCGTCAATACTCTTCCCATCCTGCTTCTTCAAAGTCCACCTTTCACTTCCATAGAGTGTCACAGGGAATACCGGGCTTGCAGAATTCTGATTTTTTGTAGACATAGAGACATCACAGCATTTGAATATCTTTTCCAAGGCCTTCATGGCTGCTCTCCCAAGTGCTAGTCTGCGGCATATTTCTTGACTGCTTATTCCTTTACTGTTGATCGTTGATCCTAGAAAGCAGAAAGCTATCCATCACTTCAGTATCTTCATTGCCAGTTCTAAGGCTGGTCTACCTGTTGACATTAGTTTGGTCTTCTTTATATTTTAATTTTCACTTTAGAGCTTGCGTTTTCAGTGATCAGGGTAGTGTCATAAACATAGTGCAGATTATTGATGTTTCTTCCTCCAATTTTAAAACTATGCTCTTCTTCCAGTCCAGCTTCCCTTCATATATATTCAGCATATAGGTTGAATAAGTCGGGAGAATATACAGCCTTTTCGCACTCCTTTGGCAACCTGGAGCCAGTCACCACATTCTGTCTGTACTGTGGTTTCCTGACCTGTATATAAGTTTCTCATGAGGACAGTGAGATGTTCTGGGGTTCCTGTTTTTCTGAGCACATTTCACAGCTTGATGTGATCGATGCAATCAAAAGCCGTTCTATAATCAATGAAGCACATAGTAATTCTTTTTGGTATTCTTTGGCTTTTCAATTATCCAGCATGCATCAACAATAATATCTCATGATCCTTGGCCTTTTCTAAAGTCATCTCTTTTTCCATGTAGGGCTCTAATCTATGTTGGATGATCCTACACATTATTTTGCCAGCATGTGAAATTAAGGATATTGTACAATAATTTGCAACGCCTCCTTTTTTGGTATTGGGATATAGATTACTCTCTTCCAATCTGTTGCTCACTGTGTTGTTCTCCAGATTTGCTGACATAGCTTAGTTAGAACCTTTACTGATTTTTCTTCTGTTGCTTGCCATATTTCAGTGGGTATTTCATCCGTTCCTTTAGCCTTCTGACTTGGTAATGACTGGAGTGCTGATCTCACTTCAACTTTTAGTCCTAGAGGTTCTTCTAAGTAGAAAATATCTTCTAAGGTATCTTGGATGTTGACATCTGTATTGTACAATATTTCAGTATATTTCTTCTATCTTAGTTCTTTTTTGAATCAGTTACTCTCTGTCCATTGGTGTCCTTTAGCATAACAACTCAAGATTGGAACCTCCTTCTGTGTTCAGAGATCTTTTGAAAGACTTTCCCTGTTTTTCCACATCTGTTTCCATCTTCAGTATCTTTACATATGTTACTATAATACTGCTTTTTGTCTTTTCTAACAGCTCTTTGAAACTCTTTGTTAAGGTCCTTTCTGAGATTTTTGTCTTTCTTGGCTTCTCTTCTCTTCTTGACAATTTCCATAGTTTGTTCTGACATCCAGTTTACTTTCTTCTTTTTCTTCATTTTTGGCAGTTTCCACATTCATCATTCTTTAATTTCATTCCATAATTCATCTGGTTCTCTGTCAATGAGATTGAGGACTTCAAAGCGATTCCTGATGTCCTCCTTGAAAATGGTGGGTATATCTTCAGGATCATATCATGGAAACTGACTGGCTTTCTTTCTTCTTCTTTAGTTTAACTTGAAACTTGCATGTGAACAGTTCATGATCTCTTCTACAGTCAGCACCTGGCCATGTCTTTGACTGCATAATTGAGCTCCGCCACCTCTTTTTAGCAATAATATAGTCAGTGATTGAAACATCATTTTGGTTGTTTGAAGACAGCGTTACTGTGAAGAATTCATTGGAGTGGCAGAAATTGATAAACTGGTCTCCTGCATCATTTTGGTTTCCTAAGCCATACAATCCGTGTTCTTACTGTAATTCTTTCTTTGCAGCTTCAAGTTTTCTTTTCCTGTATGGCAACATTAGCGACTAGATGTCCCAAAGGCTTTAATGTATCCACATCATAAACACCATTAGTACTCTGAAAGATCCTCAGCACTTCCTCAATAGCATGATGGGTGCCATCTAACATGAGGGGCACATCATCTGGCACTACATCATCAATTATTTTCTATTTTCCATCCATGTGGTTTTCTTGGTAAAAATACAGGTAGTACCATTGCCTCCTCCCATGCAGTATGAATTGATGCCTTTGCCATGTCACTAAAGCAATCACCTGCCTCCAGAATCTTGCTGTATGGCTGCTGCCCAATAGAGATGCCTGCTGGCTTTAGCTGGGCGGCTGGGATGACCTTCACACCTTGGGTGACCCCACTGGGAATATATATTCTTAGCAAACACTCCCAAAGTTCTTCACTCATCCCTCCCAGGAGCGCCCCACCACCACAATGAGGCAGGACAGCAGGACTTGGGGTGGGTGGGGATTGCCATTGGCTTATGTCCAGTTCTCTTTCGTCTTCGGTGTGTGTCACTTTCTGCCAGACAAAGACCTTAGAAAAGGGTTTATAGAGGCCATGTTAGTACAATTTAGAGATGTAGACCCTATAAGGTCAAGCCAGGTTATCTACTGGCAGACAAGCAGCAGCTGCGGCAACAGCAGGCCAACAGTTCCTTCAAGAGAAGTTGCAGTTGTGAAGAAGAGGAACACAGTTGCTTAGAGCATCCCAGCACCTCCCCCCTCCATCATTAACTCATAGATGTGGAATGCTTATGACATTTCTGCTGCTGTCCTGTGGGGCATTAATATCTCTGTTGCTTCCATCCTGCACTATCTGTGATGCTCTATAAAACACCCCATTATTAAGCTCCTGGGCATGCAGTAGAAAATGGAGTAACAAAACTATTGTCTTAAATGCAGATCTTAGCTCCAGCTAACTGTACAAGAAAGGAGGGGAGTTAAGTGTGTAAACATCTCACCAGTGAATGTTCTTTACGTGTGGAAAACCAGCAAGACAAGATAAATGTTAATATGGCAGGAAAGTTTCTATCTTAGTTTTCCTGAGGTTATGAGAAAGAGGTTTTTCCTAACAAGTGGAAATATTAATCACCTCTCATACATATGGTCTGTGGTAATATAGTTGAATCTGACTATATTGTAATAGTTTCAAGTGTATATAATTATTGTAAAAATTGTGATTGTGCCCTTCTAACTCATGTCTCACTCATTGGCAAAAATGTTCCCAGACTAAAATCAGAGCATAAGGTTAGAGCTACTACAGACAAAAACTGCACTAAATACTAGTTTTGCCATTGAAAAAGTGTAAAGTCATGCAGCAACACGCTATTCTGTGATGAGTAGAATAGGGAGTTGATAAGATAGAAAGCCTATCCAGAAGAATGGAAAGCCCCTGCTCTGTTTCTCCTGCTTGTGGGGAACTCTCATACATAGGGCATTGGGCCCTTCTGGTGCTAGGGCTATGCCATCTTTGGTACTGAATGGGGTTGCACTGCCCCAGACAGACCCTGTGCGCAATCTGGGGGTCCTCCTGGACTCACAACTCCTGCTTGAAGAGTAGGTAGGTGGCAGTCGTGGCTAGGAGGGCCTTTGCACAGCTTTGTGCTGTGCGCCAGTTCCGCCCATCCCTAGATCAGAGGGACCTGATCTCATGCCCTAGTCACCTTCCATTTGGATTTCTGTAGTGCGCTCTACATGGGGCTGCCCTTGAAAAATATCCAGAAGCTTTAGCTGGTGCAAAGCGGCGCGAGCGGTTATATACCCTGGGATGGTACGTGTTACACCTCTGCTCTGCAAGCTGCGCTGGTTGCCAGTTTGCTTCCAGGTCCAATTCAAGGTGCTGATTTTGATCTTTAAAGCCCTTCGTGACATGCGGCTGGGTTACCTGAGGGACCGCCTCTCCCCGATTACATCTGTCCGTCCCATCAGGTCTGGCAGAGAAGTCTGCCAGGGAATTACATTTGGTGGGTCCCAGGAGGCAGGCCTTCCCTGCT